ATTACTTGAGGAAAATGGAAACAGATGAGGCTCAAGATATGTCCCAGGTTTCAGGTGAGCTCCTTAAAGAATACATCTAGGATGAAAATCCTGAATCGCTGTTAATCTCTGTACCATAGTGCAGTGTTGTTTTTATTGTCATTATAATTGCTTTGAATCTTTTGTAATGCTAGAGTAGAAAGCAGGACATTATTAATGGTATCACTTAATATCAAGTCTAGTACTGCACAGACTTTTTTTAAGGGACTTAATAAATTAAGAAGCCAAGGAAAATATAAATAGTTTTGCATTAAACCTACAGTAGTATATTCTTGGAAGCATGATCAGACTCATGTTGGGTTTTGAGGGGAAAAGAGAGCAGAAGATTGATTGGTACATGCCATTTTCAGGACAAATAAACTTCAGTTATGAAGGGAAAATATTCACTAAAAATTGCTCACCAAGTATGTTTTAATACCCTCTCCCTAAAAAAAACCCTTTTATAATGTTATTGGGCTTTGAAAGTATAGACTGGATTGATACATAACTGGGTAGATATTTAAAACTATAGCATCAATGGCATTAGACTTCAAGGCCCAGGATTATTTTATTCCAAGGTATCAACACTTTGAGAGAATGTGAAAATGTTGCTTGAGGAGGCTCATATAATAAATGGAAGAGTTAGGCCTCTAAAATTTGCCCTCTGGATATTATACTTAGGAGTCTACAAGCCCTGGGCATACCATTTCCCCCCCATGTTACTTCCCTTGGCAAAACTGGAAATATAGATTATCAAGATAATACTATGCTTAGTACTAAAGTGCTCCATCTCTAGTCTTAGGGGAGCCATACAGTTTTCCCTCTCCATAGGTTCCCTAATATTTGAGCTCAGCAGTGATAAATGACTTTAGTTTTCACTTTTAGTATGCTGTCTAGAACAGGTCACCTTTGTTCAGTGAGGTCTCCATCTTGCAAAAACTTAAGCAGGTAGCTTACTTTAATAGACAATGGTCACAGTTAAAATTAAACATCTGCGTAAGTGTTTGGAGGATCAGAACGCAAAGACCACCTGTATATGATCAGAAAATGGTCTTGAACCATAGAACATGACAGAACATTTTATCCTTAAACCCCACCTGTAACTATAGTTTTTGTCTATTTTTGAAGGACAAATTATAAAGTAAATTATATAGATACAGAACAAAAATTGTGTGTGATACAAAATTTTGTTTTTTAGAAATCTCTGTTTTCTCCTCAAAAAAAGAAAAAAAATTATTTTAAGATGAAAACCTGATAAGTTTAAAATAAAATGGTTGTGTCTCACGGAACTTTCTGTTTTGATTTAAAACGCCATTTTCCATCATAGTTTTCCACAGAAACTTTTCAGCTGTTGTATTTTTCTCAAATAATTATTCTCATTTTTATATTATAACTAAATATACCGAGCAACACAATTTCATTGCATACTGTAATAATTAAAAACTTGCTATCTATGACACTGCTGTGCCATTTTGACACCTACTCTGCCGATTGGGAAAAACAATGGAGTACAGATCTTGTATTCCTTATATAGAGGCAATTGTTAAGATCTGTTTAGACTAGAGCTTTTAGTTGTGTTGTGATTCAAATTCAACGATTCTGTGTGCTGCAGAATTGCGTTTATGGGTGCCTCATAGGGATTGGGTTCTACTGGGCCCCAGGGGTGCTGGAAACAGTTGTGTCATTCTCCACCTCCGTGGCAGCATATATCCCAGTGGAGAGCCACACTCAATGTCTTGGTGCTTAAAATTGCATTAACTTGAACTCTACATTCACCCCTTCTTGCAATGGCTGGTCAGAGGCAGCATCACTCCGAGGCAAACTCCTGCTGTGAGGAGGAGCAGTGTGATGGGCTTGTTCTCCATGGAATGGACCACTTTTGCTTATGGGTTAGGAGACCACATTCTCTTCCTTATTCCTTGATGGGAAGATTTGAAAGAAACTCCAGTAAAATTTCTAAGGGTACGTCTACATTAAAGAGAAAGATCGAAGCTACCTCTGTCGATCTTGCAGGGTTCAAATTAGTTGGTCTAGGTAAGACAGCTCATTTGAAGTGAAAGGGGCAAGTATTCTGATGATGGTGTTGACATCATCCATAGATCAACCATTGATTCCATAAATCATTTCAATACCTTATTTTTCCTTGTGGTATTAGTATATATTTGCTGCATATAGCAGCATGGCCTAGTTTTAATGCCACGCAGAGTAGCTTGCGGTATGGAATGTTCTCCTGAGCTCACTAAAGCAGTTGGATGCTGCTATATCCCTTGAATGGGTGCTACTTATTTCCTTCCCATAGGGTTGGCAAGTTCTGCTGGCCAGTGGGCATGAGCTGAAGGGAATCATGCCCTATTCAGGTTCCATATGCCTCCAGGTACATAATTGCAGGGCAAGGGTGCTGTAATATATGTTGGGGACAAGCTTGGCTGTTGTACAGTCCCGGAATTGAGGGGATCATAAATGCAGCTGTAAATTGCCTTGGTTCTCTTTTCCTGAAGTGTACCTACTGCTCCTGAACTATCAAAGCTGAGCCACAGCCAGGTGGCCTGCTGTGCCACTGATTTTTGACTGGTGTCAGTATTTATGCTGTGAAAAGTAGGTATAAAGTCCCATTCAAATCAGAATGGTTGCATTTGGAAGCTATTTACTTTGCATAGTGGTAATTGGCACAAGGCGTGTCAGTGACTCAGGCCTACAGAATCAGGCCCACAGAATATAAAATGGGCATAAGTGAGATCAGAGTCAGGCCCTTTCTGTTTAAAACACAAATGTGCCCACTTCTTGGAATGCGGTGACTGTTAGCTCCTAAAGGAACCAAAACTATAGTAAGCTCAGAGTGCACCTTTTTTTCTCCTGAAAGTGATATTTCATGAGACAAGCAGTTGCAGTTCTGAAATGAAGAGAGAGCTGACGTACATTTAACCGTACTGTATCCGGCACTCAGGCAAGAGAATCAGAAAACACAGATAATATCTCATTTAACCAGCAGTGTAAATCCTGCTGTTTTTTCAGGTCTAGTTTGGGTCTAACAGTTGAGGGAGAATGAAAGCCAGTGTGAATGTTATCACCACTATCACACAAAGATCTCTCTAAGGAACCTCTGTAGTTCTCCATTTTTGCCATTTGTTGAGAAAACAGGGGAAAAGGTTTTGCTTTTGATACTATAGACTAGATTCAAAGCTAGTGTAAACAGGCATTGCTACATGTAGCTCCAGTTCCTGGGTCTGGTTCTCTTATTAAAACAGTGTAAATTGGGAATAACTCCATCAATGTAAGTGACTTTATACCAGTTTTTAAAAGTGGCATATGGAAAAGAAAAATTAAAAGCAAAATGTTTTTTAAGTACATCAGAATCTGGAAGCTTGTTAAACAACCAGTGGGGCCTTTGGACGATCAAGATGCTAACGGAGCACTCAAAGATGATAAAGTCATTGCAGAGAAACTAAATTAATTCTTAGCTTCAGTCTTCATGACTGAGGATGTTAGGGAGATTCCCAAACCTGAGCCATTCTTTTTAAGTGACAAATCTGAGGAATTGTCCCAGATTGAGGTGTCATAAGAGGAGGTTTTGGAACAAATTGATAAACTTAACAGTAACAAGTCACCGGGACCAGATTGCATTCACCCAAGAGTTCTTAAAGGACACGAATATGAAATTGTGGAACTATTGGTCATGCAACCTATCCTTTAAATTAGTGGTCCCCAATGCGGTGGCCGCGGGTCCACCGGGCCATTTCTGTGCGCCTGCCGAGTGATCAGGGTGATCATATCCAGCTTCTCATCCACTGTAACCCCCAGGTCCTTTTCTGCAGAACTACTACTTAGCTGGGTGGCCCCAGCCTGTAACAATGCTTGGGATTCTTCCATCCAAGTGAAGTCCTTGTTGAACCTTATCAAATTTCTTGTGGCCCAATCCTATTAGAGCCAGACAGTCCAAGTACCTCCCTGTCTGGTGCCCTAATGGGGGCTGGTGCAGAAAATACAAACACCAGGCGCACGGTGCATGGGCACTGCCAGCACCAGGGCATGAGGCACAGACTCTGCCTCTGGGCACGCAGCGCATGGGCGGTGGCGGCCCTGCCCCTGGGAGCACGGGACATGGTCTGTTCCAGCCCCGGGTGCGTGGCCTATGGGCGGACCCACCTCTGGGCGTGCAGCACAGTTGTGGCGCCAGCCCCGGGAGTGCGGCGCATGGGTGGCGCCAGCTCCAGGCACGCAGCGTATGGGTGACCCCACCCCCAGGAACGTGCATAGCCTTGCCCCTGGGCGCATGTGTGGCCCTGCCCCTGGGTGCCCGGCGTGTGAGCAGCCCCGCTCCCGGGCACCCGGCAGCCCCAAAAGGTTGGGGACCACTGCTTTAAATCAACTTCTGTACCTAATGCCTGGAAGAGAGCTACTGTGACGCCAATATTTAAAAAGGGCTCTTGTGGTCATCCTGGCAATTACAGTCTAATGTCAGTACTGGGCAAATGAGTTGAAACTAAAGAATAAGATTGTCAGACCCATAAATGAACATGATTTGTTGGGGGAAAGTCAACATGATTTCTGTAAAGGGAAATCATGCCTTACTAATCTATTAGGGTATGTCTACACTACCCCGCTAGTTCGAACTAGCGGGGTAATGTAGGCATACCGCACTTGCAAATGAAGCCCGGGATTTGAATTTCCTGGGCTTCATTTGCATAAGCTGGGCGCTGCCATTTACTTAACAGTACCAAGTCACTGGGAACAGATGGCATACATCCAAGAATTTTGAAAGAACTCAAATGTGAAACTTCGGGACTATTAACTGTGGTTTGTAACCTATCCTTTAAATCAGCTTCCTTATCTAATGACTGGAAGATAGCAAACATGATGCCAATATTTAAGAAGTGCTCTAGAGATGATCCTGGCAATTACAGACCGGTAAATCTAATGCCAGTACAGGGCAAATTAGCTGAAACTATAGTAAAGAATAAAATAGTCAGACACATAGATGAACATAATTTGTTGATGGAAAGTCAACATGATTTCTGTAAAGGGAAATCATCCCTTAC